AATAGACCGCTAGAATGTGAACGCACCGCTCAGGGGGTCGGATTTCAGTTTCCAGCTCTGTACTAGTAGTTGGCCCAGCCATTCACAAGCTGAACACCGTTTGAAAGACGTAGAGGGGGGGGGGGGGAGCAGGACATGTCCCCTGTGCCACCCTTGGCGGTCTGCATGCCTGACGGCGGCCTTATCACAGTGAGAGTAAAGATTCTAGAAACCAAGATGCTAGAAACCAGGATGCTAGAAGCATTGCGCAATGACATCATGGTTTAGTCCGGTGACATCATCAATGACATCATACACTACTGTGTATGGTTTAGTCTGGTGACATCATCAGGGCACCAGCACGGTTTGCGAGTCTCTAAAGCATTCAGAGATGATAATCAATGATGTAATTTCGTACAGTAAACCTGTATTTGCCGGACCCTGTACCAAGCAGAATCCTGTATTGACCAGACACACTTCCATGCAGCAAAGTGCTCTGGATCGAGCGTGCATCCCTGGATCACGAGGAATCCTGTCGTATCAGGACAGCTTCCGCTGCACCAAGGGCGTCCGGTTAGGGCAGTTTTTTTTACTGTTCTTAGAGCAAGTCGTTTTCCTTGTTCGCCATGTGCAGGGCTCTTTCTCGGCCGGTGTGGCTGGCCATTCCAACGTCTTTGTCAAGCTGACTCCAGTTTGAGGGTTTGTCTGACATTGGCCATCCAAGCTCAATGGCAGGTTGCGGCTGGAAGCCATGTAAGATGATAATATATTCGAGCACAGATATCTCTACTTCTATATCCACATGTTTTTGCACCTGTGAACCCAGATTATTATTATGATGATTTGCCTTCATAAGCATAGTGAGCTGAACTAACTTTTTGCTTTCCAAGGATTACACTTCTTGCTCTTGTTCTTTTTTTGCGCCTCGATCCTTGAAGGGTGGTGGCATTCCTACGGATGCGGAAAACTCGGCCTCTAGCCGAGTCTGACGCGAACCGTGAATTGTTCTTCTTGTTGTTCTTTCACTGCTGCTGTGACCCTAGCGGCATGCTTCTTCGTTCATAATCACAATACAATAACACACACACGCACAATAAAAAGAACTGGTCATCAAGGCCTTGTGGTGGAGTGATATGTCCCGTGACCTTTTGAACTAGATAGCCATGGGTTTGTTTCAGTCCCTGTGTAACACTGTGTTGTGAGCACTGTGTTGTTCCAGTGCGCAGCACAGTGTTCGTATTATCAGTGGATCGGGTGGTGTTCTCTGGCAGGGGCGGATCCAGGAGGGGTTCCAGGGGTTCCGTGGAACCGTGGAACCCCCCTAAATTTCGTAAATGTACTACTGGCAACCATATGCGATTATGCGTGTCAGTGTACATGTACCAGCCAGTAAGTAGTACATGTATTCGGTTTTTTCTATACTGGAATCCCCCTGTAGAGGTTGCTGGATCCGCCGCGGTTGTCTGGTGGTGCACTTCGGGGGAATATGTTTTATTGCACATCATTATCAACAAGCCTGTGCGAAGAAGAGCCTGCATCAATGGCCTTCGGTGTCTTTTTGTTTGTTTGTGAAAGGGTCTTTACAAAGAAGAGGTTGTAGCAATTTCAGCGATAAGTGAGGAGTTGTGTTTTGCTCCCTACCTAGGAGCTAGCGTTTGTTCAAGTCTCTACCTGGGAGCTAGCGTTTGTTCAAGTTGGTGGTTATCGCCCTTTTTCAGTATGTGCAGAATATTCACGATACAAAATTCCTCCAAGCACAGCATGTGACATTGGCACGCGGACGCGAGCGGCCTTGACATTGGATATCATTCACGCCATGTGCCGTATCTTCTAATCGGGTATCACGGAGAGTGGAATCAGATTCCACCGCGTACAGCCACTGACCATGAAATTTGATCTGACCTCGAAATTTGCCCCTATACCGACCGATACATGGAGCACACAGCGAACACTCACTCTGTTCAGTCGACTCCACGCATCACACACTCGCATACAGTCAACATTGCTTATAATGACACTCGGCGGGGCATCAGAAAGGTGTCCATATTCGCGAAGTGATCCCACCATTCTCGTCGTGCATCTCCTTGCAGTACTCTCTTTTGTTTCTCTCCTTATTATTTAGTTTGCCGTGGTTGGCTAAAACCCGACTTCTCATAAATATTGGCAGTCTAATCACGACGAGCCAGGAGATGTTGAATAAATAACTAAACAAATAAAAAGAGTCCTTATACCCGAAGTCTCATTATTATATGTATACGGGTAGAATGGACGTTGCTCTGGGCATGGAAATTCTGTTGTCGTTATTCGCCGCAGTCGTTATATCCGCAGTCGTTATTCGTGAAGTTGACTGTATAGCGAATTTCGTGATATAGCGAACAGTTGTCCATGTCCCTGTTTGAACCCACAGCGTAGAGTTCATTTCTGTTATAACAAACTCCGCTATAAAGAACTAAGGGCGCGTTCGAATTGTCACTCTTTGACTTTTTGAGGAGTTTCGTTTTTCTGAAGAGGTGGCCTTATTGGCCTCTTCAGAAAATCGAAGCTCCTCGAAACTCCTCGAAACTCCACAACCTGAGGTACATCTTGTATTTTACACACGGTTTTCTATAACATAACTCTCGATATAACATACAAGTAATTTTTGCGTGGTCCCAGAGATTAAGTTATATGGAGAGTAGACCTGTAGGCCTGCAAAAAACGTAGATCCACACCTGTGACTGATCTTGGGGATGTAATACTGAGTATTGGTATCTGTCCATTGGTCTGTGGAAATAAACATTCTGCTACGAATAGCTGACTGCTTCAAGCACTCCACCAGCAGCAAGGGTTCCTTGGTGTAGTGGTTATCACATTTGCTTTACACGCAAAGGGTCCCGGGTTCGAACCCCGGAGGAACCTGAGCACTCTTTTTTTAAGTTCTTTTCTCCTTCTTCCTTCTGTCCTCGCTTCTCAGTCAATGCCAGAATGAATGCACACGCAAGTAACTGTTTTCAAGCCACTCACGCCTATAGGCATTTCATTTACATGCATGAGTACAGTCAAGAGGTTATGTACTCTTGGTACATGTACATGTACTTGAGACACAGATATGTTAGTCACGACCAGGTGGTCATGGAAACCGTATAAAGGAGGTATGTAGAAAACAGAATGCAGACCAGCAGAAAATATACAGTACATGTGTAATGGTGCCAGTGGAGACATCGTTACTGCATAAAGAAAGACATGGCTATTAAATTCCAAACTCCAATACCAGCAAGAACAAGAATTAAAAAAACAATCTTGGGTAGTTGGTCAGTGACAATGCAAAACAGACAGTACAGCCGAACACACACACGCACGTGCGCGCGTATAACCGTATAAAGGAGGTATGTAGAAAACAGAATGCAGACCAGCAGAAAATATACAGTACATGTGTAATGGTGCCAGTGGAGACATCGTTACTGCATAAAGAAAGACATGGCTATTAAATTCCAAACTCCAATACCAGCAAGAACAAGAATTAAAAAAACAATCTTGGGTAGTTGGTCAGTGACAATGCAAAACAGACAGTACAGCCGAACACACACACGCACGTGCGCGCGTGCGCGTGTGCACGCACACACACAGACACACACACACACACACACACACACAGACACACACACACTAACATACACACACGCACATGCACACACACACACGCACACACTAACACACACACACACACACACACACACACACACACACACACACACACACACACACACACAATTTGAACAGTGCAGACTATGTTACTACCGAAAAACAGTTGGAACTAGACAACGAGTCTATTGAGTGTGGGCTAACATGTGCATGGACTCCCATAGCTATGGCCTCAGAATTCTTGTAATATGCAAGGTAATCATGTGATCTCCAGCGGAAAAGGTTAGCTCTAATCCACTGACAGATACTGGTCAGTAAATATAGTACAATGCATGGTTGGTGTGGGCAGTACTCTTTCCTACAGTTCTATCATTCTTAGTGGGTCTGGCCTGTTCCTTGTTGTCCATCTTCCCATATCAACGTACACTCCTATAACCATTTCAGATGCTAAAACTGTGGACACATTTCTTGAATCTCAAGAATCGAGGTGCTGAGATAGCCTGTATGTGCATCACTGGCGGCATAGCCCCGAAGTCTTCCAACATGTACTGTGATGGTGTGATCTCCAGCTGCAATGTTAGCTCCACTGCTGTACGTCGACTCACAGATACCAGTCAGTACGGCGGGGACAAAGGTGTTGTCACCACTGTTCTGGTACATCATTATATCAATCTTGGTAGGTCTAGCACACTCCCTGTTGTCGATGTTCAAGTACCAACGCGCACCTGTGTTTCCTGTCGCTGTGCGTATGTTACCAGAATAGGATAACTTCAGTACAGTGTTGGTATGCTTCTTTCTGAACGTCACGGATGTAATCTGTCCTTTATCCGGACTATAGTTGATGCTGTGACGACTCTGATACTTGTATCCAAGAGTTCGAAGATTACAGCCTGTGCCCAGATACTGACAAGCACCAAAAGCACAACGGGGCAAGAAAAATGGCAGACACGCAATTTCTCCTAATCTGAGTATCACGTGACCCACCGCATGTTTGTACTTCTCTATGGTCGGATGGCGAAATGATCAGACAGCTAGAAGTCACGATTTTTAATTTTATTGTCTTCTGATAGCCTAATGAAGAATGTGTCTGCTCCGAACGTCGGAGCTCGTCTTTCTTGCAGACTGATTTGACACTTGAGTGACTCACGACTGCGTCTGGAGCACGTGGGAAGCCCGTCGAACCTTCCACTCGGCAAAGCTGCAAGAAAGCACCACTTCCTGCTCAATACACAGTGCTTCGGGGAATTCACCCCTCATCATTTGAGCTTGAGTAGGCTAATGAAATTTCTGCTGGCAAGAGCACTGCATTATGTAGTGCTCTCCGAGCCAAAACATCACTAGGGATACAAACTTACAGTGACGCTCTGTACCCAGCGCGTCTATCCAGCACGTATTCCCCGTGTATTCCCGCAACACTGTGTATTGAGCAGAGAGTGGTGCTTTCTTGCAGGTTTGCCGAGTGGAAGGTTTGACGGGCTTCTCGTGTGCTCCACACGCAGTCGTGAGTCAGTCAAGTGTCAAGTCAGTCGGCAGGAAGCGCGAGCTCCGATGTTCGGAGCAGACACCCTCTTCACTAATTACCGCCTAAGTGGCAACATCTCAGTTCATTCTGATAACCTAGTTACGTTTTCATGTTCAAGCCTCATTCACGAGCTCGCCATGTTTGAGCAACAGAACTAGGTCTTTGCTGTGATCTCGAACTCGTAAGTCACGATTATATTGCAAACTTATAGCGTGTGAAGAAAAATACAGTGCACGACAACCAATCCTCCAATGTGCACATGCGTAATTTCTATCTCTTTTCTGAAACCAGAGCAAGGGTATATCATTGCTGTATATGCATGGCATTCCCCTAGCTGCTCCCATCCCTCCCCTCGCAGACTGTTTGTCAACTGACTTACCGCCAACTTAGTTTGCAGCTGACCCAATGCTTGCTCAAGACGTGCAGCTCTCCGGTCAGAATTCTACATAGAGACAAACGGGAGAGTAATCAAATCCCCAAACAGTTTGAAACATTGGCAAGCGGGCCTTTTTGAGCCAGGTACACCATAACGCATATCTTGTTCAAAAGCCTCGCTTGCAAGAGTAGCATCAAGTACAAATGTGGCCGGTTGGATAAAACCTTCAATCACTGCCACTCGGACTATTCTATCAAAGGTTGAATTGCGCTTGGTGATCTGTTGCTAAGAGACTTGATCTGTTGCTAAGAGACACATGTTGCTAAGAGACATGATTCACGTGATACAGTATATTCTCTAGGCACTGATGTCTCTCACGAACCACATACCTGCAAACTTGAGTTGACAGCATGTAGGTCTTGCCTTAGGTTGGCAGAGTCTCTCTCCGAGCTCTGTTGAAGGATAACAGTCCATAGACCAATACAACACACAACAACCATCAGATACACGAAACATAGATCATCATGCAATGCTATGAGCCGAATTACACAGAGTTGATCAATACCCAAAGCTGTAGACAGCAAGCTGTTTCGGCCGTAAAGGCCTCATCAGTACAGCTACGAGCTAAATAGACCGAGCTACCAGCCATGGTGCAAAGGAGGCACCACAGACATTAAGATAGCTCTCGAACCAGGGACCTCGCTTGTAGCCAGCGATGCTCTAACAACTGGGCTACGTTGTAGTCGACATCCCAGCCGAGACCGTTCAACATCTTCTCCAGACTTCGTAACTCACACTTCCTGTTAATCCACATAGACGGGTGGGACGCAGCCCTCACTGTAACCCACACACTTCACGTTAAACAAAAACTAGCAAGCGGGAGCCCCAAGTCATAAAATATTCACTGGTTTGGTAATAAATTTTGTAAATACCGAATGTGTTTTGCACAGAAGTGATGCACTGAACTTCTGCATACGTCCATGTTCTGACGGGGGGGGGGGGGGGATCTGGAAAAAGTACAATACGGCAGGTTGTGTACGGAAGAAGTTCAGCTTTTGCTAAGAGACATGATCTGTTGCTAAGAGACATGATCTGTTGCTAAGAGACATGATTCGCATGATACAGTATATTCTATGGGCACTAATTTCTCTCACAAACCACGTACCCGCAAACTTGACTTGACAGCATTTAGGTCTTGTCTTAGGTTTGCAGAGTTTCTCTCAGAGCTCTGTTGAAGGATAACAATCCAAAGACCAATACAACACACAACAACCATGAGATACACGAAACATAGATCATCATGCTTTGCCATGAGCCGAATTACACAGAGTTGATCAATACCCAAAGCTGTAGACAGCAAGCTGTTTCGGCCATAAAGGCCTCATCAGTACAGCTATGAGCTAAATAGGCCGAGCTACCAGCCATGGTGCAAAGAAGGCACCACAAACATTTAGCTAGATCGTCGCTCTGGTGCCAGAGTGCTCAAACTAGAAAAAATAGCGGGCATTGCAGAGTTGATCAATATAAAATTTATCGAGCCAGAAAGAGACGAACTTAGAAGTTGCGACTTCGGCGGTAATAGTCATGAAGTTGATTGCTCCAACTTGGAACACACGCTTCAGAAAGAAGCTCTCTCTCTCGTACTCTATTATTGGTGTATATAGCCGAGACACATTAGCCCGCCAATACATAACACAGCATGTACACATTGCATTTCTCCCTTGATGTACTTCGAAGTATATTGAGGATTAAAATTCTTGATGTGGGCTATCAAGTCTTATCCTATCTTTTGCAGAGTTTGCTTGGGATCTCTCTCTCTCTCTCTCTCTCTCTCTCTCTCTCTCTTTCTCTCTCTCTCTCTCTCTCTCTCTCTCTCTCTCTCTCTCTCTCTCTCTCTCTCTCTCTCTCTCTCTCTCTCTCTCTCTCTCTCTCTCTCTCTCTCTCTCTCTCTCTCTCTCTCTCTCTCTCTCTCTCTTTCTCTCTCTCTCTCTCTCTCTCTCTCTCTCTCTCTCTCTCTCTCTCTCTCTCTCTCTCTCTCTCTCTCTCTCTCTCTCTCTCTCTCTCTCTCTCTCTCTCTCTCCCTCCCTCCCTCCCTCCCCCTCCCTGCCTCTCCCTCTCTCTCTCTCTCTCTCTCTCTCTCTCTCTCTCTCTCTCTCTCTCTCTCTCTCTCTCTCTCTCTCTCTCTCTCTCTCTCTCTCCCTCTCTCTCTTTCACCCTCTCTCTCTCTCTCCTTTTTTTCTCCTTTCGCATAAAGCACTTCTGAATAATAATACTTTCAAACCATACCTGTAGTTGATGTGTCTGCCACCCACACAGGGACACCCACACAGGGACACCCCCACAGGGACACTCACACAGGGACACCCCCACAGGGACACCCGCACAGGGACACCCGCACAGGGACACCCACACAGGGACACCCCCACAGGGACACCCACACAGGGACACCCACACAGGGACACCCACACAGGGACACCCCCACAGGGACACCCCCACAGGGACACCCCCACAGGGACACCCGCACAGGGACACCCACACAGGGACACCCCCACAGGGACACTCACACAGGGACACCCCCACAGGGACGCCCGCACAGGGACACCCGCACAGGGACACCCGCACAGGGACACCCACACAGGGACACCCCCACAGGGACACTCACACAGGGACACCCCCACAGGGACACCTGCACAGGGACACCCACACAGGGACACCCCCACAGGGACACTCACACAGGGACACCCCCACAGGGACACTCACACAGGGACACCCCCACAGGGACACCCGCGCAGGGACACCCGCACAGGGACACCCGCACAGGGACACTCGCACAGGGACACCCGCACAGGGACACCCGCACAGGGACACCCGCACAGGGACACCCGCACAGGGACACCCGCACAGAGACACCGCCACAGGGATACCCGCACAGGTACACCCGCACAGGGACACCCGCACAGGGACACCCGCACAGGGACACCCGCACAGGTACACCCGCACAGGTACACCCGCACAGGGACACCCGCACAGGGACACCCACACAGGGACACCCACACAGGGACACCCATACAGGGACAACATGAGACAACCCACAGACGGGTATGGGAATCTACATACAACCTACATACAGGTCTGGGAATCTACATACAACCTACATACAGGTCTGGGAGTCTACATACAACCTACATACAGAACTGGGAATCTACATACAACCTACATAGAGGTCTGGGAGTCTACATACAACCCACATACAGGTCTGGGAATCTACATACAACCTACATACAGGTCTGGGAATCTACATACAACCTACATACAGGTCTGGGAGTCTACATACAACCTACATACAGGTCTGGGAGTCTACATACAACCCACATACAGGTCTGGGAATCTACATACAACCCACAGACAGGTCTGGGAATCTACATACAACCTACATACATGTCTGGGAATCTACATACAACCTACATACATGTCTGGGAATCTACATACAACCTACATACAGGTCTGGGAATCTACATACAACCTACAGACAGGACTGGGAATCTACATACAACCTACATACAGGTCTGGGAATCTACATACAACCTACATACAGGTCTGGGAATCTACATACAACCTACATACAGGTCTGGGAGTCTGGGACATACACCATCACCAGGAAGCACAGTGTATAAAAAAATTGCACGGTTCGCGTACCGGTCAGGTCAATAACCACCTTTCCGCTTCCGTGGGACGCCACCACCCCATGATCAGCCGTCAGATACGGCTCCTAAACGGGGGGGGGGGGGGGGGGGATTAGATCAGATCCACCAACCAGAAGCCAAAGGCGGAAATCTCATTTGCCACATCCATTTTTTATTGTGCCAGGCCACGAGTTCCCAAATCACTGTGGGTCGCAGCCCGTTTTTAAAAAAATGTTCCGCTTCCAAGCACGACTTGACCCTGGTACCGCTCGTTTCTCAATCATAGTCTTAGACCAACCCTCTGTGCCTGCCGCCTAAGCACAGTGCATACTCACAAAGGAATGCAAAACATTCTCCATTTTACACACCGTGCATGGTTTGAGGATGAGAAAAAAGTACTTAATGCTGTCATCACATCACGGTATAAAGCGCTGCGTAATTTTTTAGATGAACGTGAGTTTTTCCCCCAGTCTTGTTTCCAAGTGACCTTATACATGTACGTGCGTTTGAAACTTCAAATATCTCCAAAAACGTGACGGAGTGTACTGGTCATGGACTTTGCCGGTTTGATGACACGACCACCTGTTTCGGATTTTTCACCGTAGACCTAAACGGGAGCCAGAGAACGTAGTGTGATGACGGCCCAAGTGAATCAAAGAGTAATTAGAAATCCGTACTCACCTGGACGTATGTGGTATGGTTTCGCTGCATTGCTTCCAATCTCTGATCGAGGTTTCGATTGACTGTGACTTGGAGACGGGAGAGAAAAGTAGCGACTGTGTCGGACGACTTCTTCTCTGCATTTGCTGAGGCGGCCAGCACGTTGTATGTAATGGAGGTAAGTTTGGACAACGATGACGTCATGTTTGCCAGAATGTGCTTGGACAACCATTCTGTCATCCAGCCAGCACACAGTGAAAAACAAAAGTGGACATTACGTCAAGAAAAAAGGACAAGTAGACAGCTGGTTTTACTCTCTCAAGGGGAGAGACTTTGGTGACCAAAGATTGTTCATCACGTCCATCAGGACAATTGAAAGAAAAAATCACCACGACTTTTTGATGCATTTCAGCAATCATTGCTCCCAGTTGATAGAGTGATAGAGAGACAAACAGAGAGAGAGACAGGGACAGAGAGGCAGAGAGGCAGAGACAGATAGATAAAGAGACAGAGACACAGAGAGACAGAGAATGGAGACAGAGAGACAGAGGCAGCTGATGAGAGTGGAAAAGAAGAAAATAGAAGAGGAGAAGGAGTCTGGCAATTATGTGAGTTAGCAACATCAGACTGCGGGCAGCACTTTTGCTTTGCTTTCCATAATTGCGTTCTCATTCCTATGGCTGTGTATCAAGGTAATCTATGCCTCATACTATCAAGACGGAGGTTTTCTGTTGTGGTAATGAATAATATCACCCATGCCCTAGAAGCCCAGTGGATGCCAGTAGTATTTGGGCAGTTCATTGACTTTATTCAATATTGAAAAGGGATGAAGAAGACCATTGCTTCCCATTCAATTGCATACATATTTATGTGAATGTGTTTTGGAGCTTGGGAGGTCATTGTCGCCAGGCATGGCCAGTTCGCACCATGGTGGATAACGTTATCATGATACAATAGACATGTGTCCGTACTTACGTTTTTGACAATGTCGTCCTGTGTAGAGTGTGGGGCATTGGCATGTGTATCCTTCACTTGTCTCCTGACAAGTACCACCATTCTTACACGGTGATGATGAACAGCTAGGTAATGCTGTGGTTTATAATGTCATGTACACGGGACAAACCAACACAAGAGAGAGAGAGAGAGAGAGAGAGAGAGAGAGAGAGAGAGAGAGAGAGAGAGAGAGAGAGAGAGAGAGAGAGAGAGAGAGAGAGAGAGAGAGAGAGAGAGAGAGAGAGAGAGCTAGAGAGAGACAGGGAGAGAGACAGGGAGAGAGACAGAGAGAGAGACAAAGACGGAGAGAGATGGAGAGAGATTGAGAGACGGAGAGAGAGGGAGTGAGAGAGAGAGAAAGAGAGAGAGAGAGAAAGAGAGAGGGAGAGAGAGGAATAAGAGAGAGAGGGAGACAGAGGCAGGGCAAACAAGACGGGGTGTAAAGATAGAATTGCATTTACCAGCAGACACAGTAGGGCATCAAATATCCACACGATCGATTCGCAAACGCCCAGGGAAAACAGATCCTGGGGCGGATTTCATTTCAGGGAGTCATGGAAGTGTGTGCCTTGAAACACTCGTTCGATATTGTACCAGAACAAACTCAGATACCATCTCTCCTCTCTATGTAACTCTGGCATGAAGAAGGTAGTAAAAGTATGAAAGAATTGAGGCAATTCAGAGTGGTTTCACATAAGTTTGTCCTGTGACTAAATTTGCACAGAAAGTGATCATGACGTATGGACAGTGGAACCAACATGTCCGACATCGTGTGACATCATGTTCTGCAAGGGTTGAGTGGAATTGGAACCAACATGACTGTCTGGTATGCTCCTGTGATAATTGTGAAACCACCCTATTCATCAGTCCCGATGGTTCCAAGACACTGTAAACTGGAGATAATGTTCATCAACACAACTCTGTAGTAGAGTCGTGCTCGGTGAAATCCGACCCAAAGTGCATGTTTGGCGCCTTCAACTTGCACACCCTTTGACACGTTGGAAGTGGTACGTATTGTGCTGGACGTACACATGCCCAAGTACAGTGATGTAATCTAAAATGGTCCAGGTCGACAGTTTAGCACTTTGTGTGGAATTTCATTGAGTTCAACTGTACTGCTATCACTTTGTGTGGGGTAATCGGATTTCAGTGAGCTGCTCAACTGTACTCGTATCACTCACCGTGCTGACAAAACCGTCCCCTGACACCCCTAGAGCACACACATCTGTACCCTGGGTACGGTGATCCTGATGAACCAGGTTCCCTACTGTACACACACCGACCAAGATGCTGGCATGGTGATTGTCGCAGACACTCGGTATCGTCATGGTTACCTTCAAAGAAAGGAACAGAAAAAAATGATTAAACAAACAAAACAAACTCTGATAATTTAATTTGTATGCATGTTTCCTCGACCGGGATCCAACGGAATCCTGTGTTTGTGTGTGTGTGTGTGTGTGTGTGTGTGTGTGTTTGTGTGTGTGTGTGTGTGTGTGTGTGTGTGTGTGTGTGTGTGTGTGTGTGTGTGTGTGTGTGTGTGTGTGTGTAAAAGTCACTTCAATCAGCTGTGTGGTGGATACCAGGCTAAAAATAGTGGCGGTCAATTCATCAGCCTTGCAAGCTGTTGAATGGTGTAATCCCAGCACAAGTTGCTATGTCTAACATAGCTGTTCGCTTTAATCGCTTCCGCGATGGGCAGGTGTGAGGTCTGAGGTGTGTGTGTGTGTGTGTGTGTGTGTGTGTGTGTGTGTGTGTGTGTGTGTGTGTGTGTGTGTGTGTGTGTGTGTGTGTGTGTGTGTGTGTGTGTGTGTGCATGTGTGCATGCATGGGCGTGTGTGCAAATGTGTGTGTGAGAGCGAGCATGTTCATTCGTCTACTGAAAACGGCATACACTCCGTATTTTGTGACCTGTGCTGTATTTCCTTGCCACATTAGACGTTAAAAACCTCTTATGCCACTGAGTTGGATAAGGCCAGGTTTTACAAAAATTGGACGGGTATGCGATGACAAAATGTATGGGGAACTACTTGTAGATCCAACACCCAAAAATGGCAAATCCGAGGTCTTGAACAGAAGATTGGTCAATATTGGGCTTTCAAAAGCCAGCAAGACTACTGCGTAGAATGGCTTGGAGTATATGCACTACATAATATTATGAGTTCTTGCAATTGCAATCTAGCAAATATGCAACGTTTGCATTGGACGGAGCATAGCAGAATCATCAACTCAGAAAACTTACCCATGCAGCGATAGAGGAAATTCACAGCCTGCTCATTTCCACCGAGAACTGTTTCCAGTAGTTCTTGGTCAGTATCGTGAACAGTGTCCTCGTCAACAGCTGTTTCGAACTTCTTCAACAGCCTCTCGAATCGCTGCACGTCTTCATTTGAAACACCACTGCCTACTGTAGCGGCAGTCAGCCATCTTGTCATACAGGTATCTATGGTAACCAGAACACCAGACAACATGAAAGTAATGCCAGCATACAAGCAATCATATGCGCAGCAAAAATTGACTCCCTGGGCAGATTGGATTCAGATTATGCCTGCCATTTGTTTGCAGATAGGGACAGTCCCCTGTATCCTATTATACTGTATACTGATAATGTCTTCTACTGTATGTTCTGTGTCACTGGTCAACGCCTCTATCGTTTACAGTGCATCAATCCAGGCCAGGAATGACTGCTGTGTTGTGCTACGCCAGGCAAGGCCACCATAAGCGCATACCCGCTCATCATGGCTAAACAACTGACTGGATAATAAGTTAATAACAAGGTGAAGCTCTTTCTGTTTGAATAGAAGAGGGGAGTTCCGGGCTGAAAAAAATGCAACTGCAATTAAAAAGAAGAAAAAAGATTATAAGAAGAAAAGAGGAGCAAAAAGCTACAAGTTACGCTATAAAGTATAATATCCACTAACACCACCAGTTACTTTACAATCAGTTCATGCGATAACATTGCATGACACTGACTAACGCCGTTCTACAACTAACTGGCAATCAGCTCTAGAACATCTTGGATGCGCACTCCAACAGCCTTCCAACTTGGAAGGTTCTACTTTGAAGTAAGTTATGGAAATAACATAAGAAGGGGAACTGTTGCTTATTCTGCTTAAGGAGTGGAACTGCTGCTTATTTTCTATCTAAATTGTCTTAGGGCCCGGTCACACATGCACTCGAAAGTAGCGTATACGCTGAAGCGAGGTCGAAGGAGCGAAAAATGGCATGGCAACGGCGAAAAGCAGAACTTCCGCTTCAGCGGAAACTCCAATCCGCTTCCTTCGAACATTTTCGAAGCGAGACTGTCGCTTCTGCGGATTCGCTTCAGCGGAAAACACCACGGTCTGCTGTATATGGACTTGCTACGAGAAATTTGTATGCGTATGATGTCCATGCAACAAAAATGCGTGCAAGATAGTCATTGACCTCGTCTATTCTCCGTACCGTATGCACCACAGTCCACTTATTATTATTACAGTCTAGTCCTTTCCCAAACGACCAATCCCGATATAACAGATTTCGAGGTTTTTTTTGCCGGGAAACGTTCTCAAGCTTGAGAAATTTCGAATTTGTCTAGTTTTGGGGTATGTATGAAATAGGGTTATCGGCCTGGTCGAGCAGTGAAGGCTTCTTCCACATCCCTTGAATTATATCATATGGAAGGTAATCAGTTTGGCAATGCCCTGCCGCCAGGAGAATGCAAACAACGCGATAGAATGCGTCCCGGGTGGTAGGGATCATTTTTCTAAGTGCTACAAAATAGCCGACATCGATGCGAAAGTCGGCCTCAAAGTCGACATGGACGTCTTGAACAGGTGAGATCTTTCAATATATCAATGGAGAACACCCTAAAGAATAGATGTATAGTTTTTCTAAGCTTCCAACTCTTGTGTGCTCAAGTGAACATTGAACATATTTGGACGTGAATATATCACCAGACAAAACCTGATACTGTAGTACATTAAAGGGGAAGTATACCCTAAAATCAAATTTTCACCAGTTGTAGTCTTCTGGGTGCTGAGTCGAATGGTCTTGGTCCGAGGAAGCTGCGACGCTCCCTTCCTACTTGAATCCCAATCGAACTCGCGCACTTCCACCGAAACTGGGTGACTGCGCCCTACTAGATGGGGATTTGTATGCAAAATGTCACTAAAAGCGCCATTTCGTTCTTATAAAAGCACGGATGACCGCGATTGGCCCATATGTTGTAGTCTTTTGGACGCTGAGTCGACTGGTTTTGGTCCGAAAAGGCTGCGATGCAGCGTTCCTCCTTTATTCCCAATCGAACATGGTTGAACAAGCGGTCACGTGCTCCTGGGTGCCCAAATCACCTGGTCACCGCGCCAGCAGGCGACAACTTTCACACCAAGGTTCAACTCGAGTTCAACTCGAGTGACAGGACTGCACCCAAAAAAGGTCAAACAGGCTAGTAAGTTGTACCCTGCAGGCACGGTGACCAGCTGACTGGTGTACGCAGGAGCACGTGACCGCTTGTTCAACCATGTTCGATTGGGAATAAAGGAGGAACGCTGCATCGCAGCCTTTTCGGACCAAAACCAGTCGACTCAGCGTCCAAAAGACTACAACATATGGGCCAATCGCGGTCATCCGTGCTTTTATAAGAACGAAATGGCGCTTTTAGTGACATTTTGCATACAAATCCCCATCTAGTAGGGCGCAGTCACCCAGTTTCGGTGGAAGTGCGCGAGTTCGATTGGGATTCAAGTAGGAAGGGAGCGTCTCAGCTTCCTCGGACCAAGACCATTCGACTCAGCACCCCGAAGACTACAACTGGTGAAAATTTGATTTTAGGGTATACTTCCCCTTTAATCATTCAATGGGTATACAGTATACAACCACCATACAAACACGAGCAGGAGAATGAATGGATAGGAGAAGAGTTGGTTACCCATTAGCTGTTCAACAAAGAGAAGCACATACTAAAAGTTGAATTGGATTAAAAGTATTTACAATTCACAATTACATGTACAGTATCACTTTCTGCGATGTAACCCTTGCGGCGAGGAAATGCCTGTCGCGCACTGTCGCAAGCAGTTGTAGGGCCACTGTCCCAGAAGTTGGCAAAAGCATAACTCTTGCCAAGCGCGCTGTACACGAATGGAGTGCAGTTCACTAGGCTGGGTGCACGTGAGGGTACTACGCACTGCACTTAGATGTCGCAGAAACAAAACAGATTGTGAATCGTCTGTCGCGGCTGCAGCTCATCGCAGGTGTTGCATGTTGCGCATCGTGGAAAGTAGTTCATGTATTGGGAATTGAGCTTCAGTAATAACAGAAAGAGGATCCCAGAGGATGACTGACACCGCTGACAAACACTCTTCTGTGCAAAGTTTTGATGACGATGCTTGATTGAGACGTTAACCTGCAATGGAAAATAAACAGCAGATGATACTGATTATACATTAGGTATGGATTATACCATGAGTATGAGGGGTATACGGCGAATATTTTCGAGAGTGCGTTAGGACGAGGGACAATTGGGGGACTCGGTATACACAGAGTACGAATGGTAGAATCCATTTGCATGGTACTTTCCTAAATACAGAGCCCGACCAACACGAAAGCTTAGCTCACATTCGACGGGGCGCAACGGGATGCGACGTAAGGATTGACGGGAACCGACAGAACGGTTATGACGCCGACAGACAGCGTCCAATGTGAACACCAGGAACGGGAACGCAACCGTTCTACCCTACAGATTGGGAAGCGAGGGGAAGAGTTGGATCAGTTCAACTTTTCAGACCGTAGACGGGTACGCAAGCGTACAAAGCAACTGCATTCTAGTGTGAACAGGTAATGTGTCGTGCGCTGACCCCTCCCGATGCGCACAACAGCACACTTAGGTTTTTTAAACATTTCGAACACGGTCAACACTACGCTTCCCATGATAACTTGCCGAATGGCTAGCACAACTGATTCAAATTTAAGGAAGATAAGATTTCGTGTCACTTCTTGAAAATCGCAATAGCTGCTGCATGTCGTGTCATACTACATGTTGTGTCTTACGAATCGTACAAGATTTTACAGCTCACCCCGGCCGTCCCAACAGGCCCTTACGTTCCATACCGTCAGCGTTACGTCGAATGCGAACTAGGCTTAAAAGTTTCCTTATTCTCGAAGTGACCCATGTGAACCGAGCGGGGTATATCGCTGAATATATTCCGCTTAGAACGGCCGCTGATTGGCAAATGGTGTTATATTTGAGACGAGTTCTATATCACTCAGCTTCATATCACAAATACTGGCGCACTTACATGAGGAAGAGACGGATCCAAACACGTGCACGCATCAAATAATCTGCCAACAGCCAGTCATCAATGATTACATATACAGTGCAGCAACCCTGGACAGCAAGAGAGAATATACACACCAGAGAGCCAGGAAATGAAGTTATACTCTGATATACGATTCGCATAAAAGAAAATGGTGTCCAAAGTGAGAACAAGTCTAGACCACTCAATTAGCCAGAACAATCTTGAGTGTACACTTACACGAGAAAAGGACGAATCCATAGGCGTGCATACAATGCATACATGTCATGTTGAATACGCCGCCAGCATCAAGGCAGTAGGAACTACAACTGCATGCATACAGTGCAGCAGCCCTAGGCAACATCTCACTAAATGTAGAAGATATGGTGGGCAAACGATTACGGTCATAGAACGGATCGAGTTTATGGTGCATGCCATTACAAGAACCAGCATTTTTATGGAACGGATGGTACCAATACGGCGAAATGTCTACGGATTCAAGATAAATCACAACAGACTTAGGCAAGAACATGGTAAAACTGATTCATACTTCACTTCATGAACGCAATGCGCACAGGCGAAGGTCGCGCGATGGACCAAACAAGTAACTCAACTCAAGATCAAGTCAACTTTCTCGCCGCAACGGCCGTTGTGATGTGTTTCCCTTACGCAAAGCGAAGTGTGAATGAGGCTTTACTCTACAGATCCAAAACTGTAAACCAGTGAAGACTACAGCTTAGAAGACGGTATTATAAATGTTGTGCATTGTAGATCTACTTGCCAAATGTGTGTGATCCTCTATGTAACATACATGTAGATAGGGCCAAGCAAGCACAGCAAGTTCTGAATTTTAGGTATTTGGAGGTCGTGAACAGATCAGATTTGTCTTGTAAGTGATAGGTATTGCTTACCTCTATATGTTGCCGCCTTCGTGCTGGCCGAAAACGCTGTGTGCTCTGGCGATAATCCGGCTTGAAATTAGGTGCATAAAAATGCCAATTTCAGCTTCGTTCACAACATTTTCGATATACGTCTCCTCTACGAAACGTCACTAAAAATATATCTGCCGAAAGAGCGTCCCGTCAAGAATACATGGTGTGAAATAAAACGAGGTGGTGCAAAGTAAAATGACGTAGGCCATGTAAAACGGCTTCCATCTCTCAGAACCAATTTAGGACAGTTCTCAAATTTGAGAACATTTTTTCGCTTTCGCGGCAAAAATCAGTCAAGAATCTGTTATATCGGGATTAGTGGGAGAGGTCTTTTTTTTGCGCGTCTGGGGAAGGACTGTTATTAGACACAATCTCATAGCATGTGACAAGCATAGCTAATGCAGGGACAGACTTTACTCTTATTTTCCGCCAAAGTAGGAGTTTGCCCTGTTTGTATGTGTGACCATACACTCGTGATTTCGCTGGAGCGACACCAGGCTCGCTGCCCCCGAATCTCGACGCCAAAGCGAACCCCAGTGCATGTGTGACCGGGCCCTTAGTAGAAGTACTGTACAGTAACGGTTCTTCATGATTCATGTTCGCTTGGTTTCCCCTGCAATCGATCTTCCAATTTTTAGAGCCCCACAAGTTGTGTGGTATGCAGCTATGCGTCCTTGAATCGTGGTTTGACCGTTTTGTCTAATGCAGTAATGGTCTTACCAGTATCGTCCTCGACATACATGTACATGTACATGATCCGCCAACGTCCTTCACAGCTGAGACTTTCAGCTCGTGCTTGTCTTGGTTGCGCTCACATTCCCCTCCTTATGTTATTCCTATAACTTAGAACCTTCCAAGTTGGAAGGCTGTATGAGTGCGCATCCAAAATGTGCTAGAACTGATTGCCAGTTAGGTGTAGAACAGCGTTGGTCAGTGTCGTGCAATGTTATCGCATGAACTGATTATAAAGTAACTGGTGGTGTTGGTGGATATTATAGCGTAACTTGTAGCTCTTTTGATCCTCTCTTCTTCTTATAGATAAATCCTTGGCTCTCCACCCGAGTCAAATAAAAAAATTCTACATCAATATTTCGGCCCTGGGCCATAGATATTTGGAAAATGATAATACACATGAGTAAGGCTTCATTGATATGGTGCAATTGGAGTTGTCTTTGCTAGCATACTGACATTCATTGCTAGGCAGGCTGGTGGGCGCGATGGCGAAGAGCGCAGTGTACTGTGTAGTCTGTAGAGTGGTGAACTTCACTATGCTGCCTGCTCCCTTGACAACGTATGTTGGCATATCAAAGGCTCACGGAAAGCTGGCCCATTTATGCAACCGATAATAGTGCCAATTTATTTTTACCAATAATCGGGGGAACTTCTAGTATTCCTTTTTGCCGTAGATTGACTAGGTAACCACCGTTACAAAGCATAACTTGACATGAATGAATGACTTCTTACCGTTTCTGGGTGGCACGGCTGGGATAGTAGCGGCGGGTGTACTCGGAATGACAACCAACAGAGTAAACACCACCAGCAACAACAACATGGTAGCGGACATTGCCGATTGCCGAGCTGTAGCAGCGAAGGCCATCGCGGATGGCTCTCTCAGGATTCGAAGGAACAGCGTCGGCCACTAGCAGTAGTAACACACTTTCCACGCAACACGGACAAAGAACCACTTGCTTGGCGGACATGCAAGAGAAGCTACTGGCACCGTGGGTAGCTGCAAGTTCCTTTTCAAGGCAGAAGAACATGTCAAGCTTGTTTTCATCTCTACTAGTCTAGGCGGTACCGCCATGCAAGCCCACTGTAGGCTGCAGGAATCAACAGGACTGCATTATAATAATGCCAGTGCTTTCATGCTGACAGGTTGTCACCTTCGTCGCCACTTGTCAGTCTGGCGAGGCCCTTACAGCAGCACATTGTACATTTTACATCATGTAGATCTACACTGTACATGTACCAACATTCGGGCGTCATCATGATAATAATATTATTATCAGACGTTCGTAACTACATGTGCGTGTAGTTACTTGGTATCATACCTAGTTTACGACAATACTTTGCGCCCTTGGACATTCTCGTCTTCTTTTCCTAGGGTCGCGCTAATTTTGGCATGACAGACGCGTGACTCGGACTGACAACCTGAATCTCGTGCTCGTTCGTCATTGGTCTGTCTGTCATTCGTGCCTCTTTCTTGTTGGGAGTCTTGGCGCCTCCAATGCATCGAACAATGCTACCTGTCTTTCTGATGTGCTGCGTGGCCGTGCTGACAACCTGAATCTCGTGCTCGTTCGTCACTGGTCTGTCTGCCAGTCTTACCTCTTGGGGCCTCCACAGCATCCAACAATGCTACCCTTCTTGTTGCCTGTGATGTATGTCCGTGTTGAAGGCCTCAGCCGACGGTATTGATTGCACTACAGTAGTATGCGTAGACTACGGTAGTAGCACTGGTTAAAACAGTGTTCTAGTACTCACTACCTAATCAATGAGTAGAGATATCCATGTACATGTATTGTAGACTACATGCTCGTGTGCACTGTCAGCATGACAGTAGCAAGAGTTCGTGTTTTGTCTGCTTCTTGTCTGCATCTTGTTCCTCCCTGTTCTTGTTTTGAGTGTGCTGCCTCCCCTTCCCCTCATTTCCCCCTCCCTCCGCCCTCCCCTCTCTCTCACTCATTTTTTGGGCCAATGGACTCTCGGTTGTAGGAATAGTGACTGCTTAATTCAGTGCATCGTACTGATGTTCTTATTTCCAGAATGATGATTTATTGTCCATCTCATACTTCTGCACAAAAGACCAAGACAGTGCAATTTGGCCCAGTGCACATCATCGATCCAATTCATTTCGCCAAGAGCTTACCACATTCATTCATCTTAGCCACCCTGTAAGAAGACCTTAGGGTCTGTTGGGAATGCCGAAGTAAAATAATGAAATACAATGCAAGTACAAAATATCCATTTCACTGATGTACCGGTACATGCTATGGCATCATCAAGAGTCAAGAGTCAAGAGTCAAGAGTCAAGTGTCAAGAGTCAAGAGTCAAGAGTCAAGAGTCAAGAGTCAAGTGTCAAGAGTCAAGAGTCAAGAGTCAAGAGTCAAGTGTCAAGAGTCAAGAGTCAAGAGTCAAGAGTCAAGATTCAAGAGTCAAGAGTCAAGTGTCAAGAGTCAAGAGTCAAGAGTCAAGAGTCAAGTGTCAAGAGTCAAGAGTCAAGAGTCAAGAATCAAGAGTCAAGTGTCAAGAGTCAAGAGTCAAGAGTCAAGTGTCAAGAGTCAAGAGTCAAGAGTCAAGAGTCAAGAGTCAAGAGTCAAGAGTCAAGAGGTTATGTACTCTTGCTACATGTACATGTACTTGAGAGACAGATATGTTAGTGACGACCAGGGAGTCATGGAAACCGTATAAAGGAGGTACTAAAGTTCAAAACAGAATTCAGAACAGCAAAAACTCTGCAGTACATGACCTTGTATAATGATGTGGGTGGAGAAAGCGGCACTGCATCATGCAGGACCTGGCAATTAAATTTTCACACTCCGAAACAATCAAGACGAAGGATAGAAAACAATGCTGGATAATTGGTCGGCGGAAATGAAAAACCAAAAGCACAGCTGCGCACTCACACAGACAAAGACAAAGACACACACACACACACACACATGCACATGCACACCCACGCACCACCACCATCACCATATTCGAACAGTGAAGAATATGTAGCTGCCGCTGTGTGAGCAGAAAACAAGGTGGAATTCATTATACATCGAATCTATTCAGTTACACTGTGTTTCAAAACAATCAGTTCCTTGTCTTCAAGAAACTTCTTAAAAGCTATAATATTCGTGAAATACTGAAATTGTGGACACCGAAACTTAAGAAAAGAGAATATGGACTAACATGTGTATGAACTACCATTGCTATAGTCTCGCAATTCTTCTAACATGCACGGTAATCATGTGATCTCCAGCTGTCAATGTTAACTCCATTACTGGTAGTCCACTCACAGATACTGGTCAGTGAATATAGTACAGTGCATGGTTGGTGTGGGCAGTACTCTTTCCTACAGTTCTATCATTCTTAGAGGGTCTGGCCGGTTCTTTGTTGTCCATCTTCTAATATCAACGTACACTGTTATAACCAATTCAGATGCTAAAACTGTGGACACATTTCTTGAATCTCAAGAATCGAGGTGCTAGCCCAGCCTGTATTTGCATTACCGGCGGCATAGCCCGGAACACTTCCAACATGTACTTTGATGGTGTGATCTCCAGCTGCAATGTTAGCTCCACTGCTGTACGTCGACTCACAGATACCAGTTAGTACGGCCGGGACATGGGTGTTGTCGCCACTTTCCTGGTACATGGCTATATCAATCTTGGTAGGTCTGGCACACTCCCTGTTGTCGATCTTCAAGTACCAACGTGCACCTGTATGTGCTCCATATGTACGTACAGTACCAGAATAGGATAACTTCAGTACAGTGTTAGCATGCTTCTTTCTGAACGTCACTGATGTAATCTGTCCTTTATCCGGACTATAGTTGATACTGTGGCGACTCTGATACTTGTATCCAAGAGTTCGAAGATTACAGCCTGTGCCCAGATACTGCAATGCACCAAAAAGCACAACGGGCAAAGAAATGACACCATGACTGCTAAATTGCTCAATGATGTGGCAATGCTTTGTGAGGCGTTTGCTTACCACACAGGTCTTGATGCTGCCTGTTGTCAATGAATGTGTTTCACATTCCAGAATGTTTCTATGAATTTGTGATACGCCCTCTCATAACTGGCACTTCTACTGGTAGCGTCGGATTAGGTGCAAGACAATTCTTAAAGGGGAAGTATACCCTAAAATCAAATTTTCACCAGTTGTAGTCTTCGGGGTGCTGAGTCGAATGGTCTTGGTCCGAGGAAGCTGAGACGCTCCCTTCCTACTTGAATCCCAATCGAACTCGCGCACTTCCACCGAAACTGGGTGACTGCGCCCTACTAGATGGGGATTTGTATGCAAAATGTCACTAAAAGCGCCATTTCGTTCTTATAAAAGCACGGATGACCGCGATTGGCCCATATGTTGTAGTCTTTTGGACGCTGAGTCGACTGGTTTTGGTCCGAAAAGGCTGCGATGTAGCGTTCCTCCTTTATTCCCAATCGAACATGGTTGAACAAGCGGTCACGTGATCCTGCGTACACCAGTCACCTGGTCACCGTGCCTGCAGGGTACAACTTACTAGCCTGTTTGACCTTTTTTGGGTGCACTCCTGTCACTCGAGTTGAACTCGAGTTGAACCTTGGTGTGAAATTTGTCGCCTGCTGGCGTGGTGACCAGGTGATTTGGGCAACCAGGAGCACGTGACCGCTTCTTCAACCATGTTCGATTGGGAATAAAGGAGGAACGCTGCATCGCAGCCTTTTCGGACCAAAACCAGTCGACTCAGCGTCCAAAAGACTACAACATATGGGCCAATCGCGGTCATCCGTGCTTTTATAAGAACGAAATGGCGCTTTTAGTGACATTTTGCATACAAATCCCCATCTAGTAGGGCGCAGTCACCCAGTTTCGGTGGAAGTCCGCGAGTTCGATTGGGATTCAAGTAGGAAGGGAGCGTCGCAGTTTCCTCGGACCAAGACCATTCGACTCAGCACCCAGAAGACTACAACTGGTGGAAATTTGATTTTAGGGTATACTTCCCCTTTAAAGGGGAAGTTAAGGCAAAAATTAAAATTTCACCAGTTGTAGTCTTCGGGGTGTTGAGTCGAATGGTCCTGGTCCGAGGAAGCTGAGACGCTCTTCCCCTTCCTACTTGAATCCCAATCGAACTCGCGCACTTCCACCGAAACTGGGTGACTGCGCCCTACTAGATGGGGATTTGTAAGCAAAATGTCAGTAAAAGCGCCATTTCGTTCTTACAAAAGCACGGATGACCGCGATTGGCCCATATGTTGTAGTCTTTTGGACGCTGAGTCGACTGGTTTTGGTCCGAGAAAGCTGCGATGCAGCGTTCCTCCTTTATTCCCAATCGAACATGGTTGAACAAGCGGTCACGTGCTCCTGCGTGCCCAAGTCACCTGGTCACAGCACCAGCAGGCGACAACTTTCACACCAAGGTTCAACTCGAGTTCAACTCAAGTGACAGGACTGCACCCAAAAAAGGTCAAACAGGCTAGTAAGTTGTACCCTGCAGGCACGGTGACCAGGTGACTGGTGTACGCAGGAGCACGTGACCGCTTGTTCAAGCATGTTCGATTGGGAATAAGGGCCGAGCGCTGCATCGCAGCCTTTTCGGACCTAAACCAGTCGACTCAGCGGCCAAAAGACTACAACATATTGGCCAATCGCGGTCATCCGTGCTTTTATAAGAACGAAATGGCGCTTTTAGTGACATTTTGCATACAAATCCCCATCTAGTAGCGTCCAGTCACCCAGTTTCGGTGGAAGTGCGCGAGTTCGATTGGGATTCAAGTAGGAAGGGAGCGTCTCAGCTTCCTCGGACCACGACCATTCGACTCAGCACCCCGAAGACTACAACTGGTGAAATTTTAATTTTTGCCTTAACTTCCCCTTTAACTACAATAAAACCGGGTATAACCGACCACTCCACGGTGCAAGCAAAAGCGGTCGTTAAAGCCAGGTGGTCTTTACAACCAGGTCCCACATATTCGTGACATATTGGAATGTGTACATACATATACATGTGCATGGTTGTAATGTACGGATCGGCTATAGCGTTGGTGTTTGATTTTCGTGATATAATTACTACAGGTGATATACATACTTAGGTATGCCTGACACATGCGTGTATGGTGTCATTAGAATCAGTGCAGCGTGCAGAAGCGTGCTGTGCATGTGACTGTGCAGTACGCGCAATGCAGAGCTACTTCGTGCGGAAACAAAAAACTTCATGACTTTTTGACATGAGTTTTCAAGGAGTTGCTGTGCTCAACAAATGTGTTCTTTTGGAAGAGAAACACTTCAACACATTCAATCGACATATCAACAATATCTACAGGATCGATTAGTGGGAGTAGAGTCTCAGTCTGGGTCGCCATCGCTCGACTCATCACCGCTGAAACCGTTCCAAGTCGCAGGTCGTTCGACGCGTGATGTCGTATGTCACGGAGAAGCTTCTCCGCGTCCCTGATCGTCTTGCCTGTTACCTGAATGCCTTCTCCAACATCTCGGCGGAGACCACGGTAGCGCTTCAGCGTTGGTACTCATTACTGCCTCCGCTCTCGCTCGAGGATGCCCCGGAACAACAAGCACAGCCAACGCCAAATATTTCGAATTTCTTCCGAGGGATATCATAGTTGTACCAGCGCTTCCTGACTGCCGCGATCAGATCTTGCCATGTACGATGTACAGTTTTTTATGATCATCACTATAGCCGATAAAAAATGTATGCAATAGAATCATTTTGACAAAGAAATCGTATCATTATAGCCGATATATTACTATAGCCGATTATTACTATAGCCGATCCGATATGTATAGAAAGGGGTGGTTTACGAAAATGAATTTGAGAATACCATCACTATAAGAGGTATATTACTATAGCCGACAACCCTATAGCCGATCTGCACTGTACTTCCATGTACTGTACTCATATTGACAGGTGTGGAGCATAGAATACTTTCGTGCAGGCAAAGCACGCCTCACTCAAGTGCATCCAGGGCATCCTGCACTGTCACTTGTCACTTCTGTTGACCGCATGCACTTGCTTCAGAGCGCACTTCAACCCTGTTGGCAGTGTTGCAGTCAACCCTGCCAGCCAAGATGGTACTTTTGGCTAGTTTTGGTCGCTGTGTGCAGGTCCATTATGGCAATTGGTACATTAAACATCGGTCGCTGATCGCGCAGAGCAGGTAGTCGCTGTATCCAGTGCAGTTTCAGTGTAGAACTGTCTGCACATGGAAAAACGGCCGCTAGGAGCAGGTGGTCGCTAAAACCAGAAGTCGCTTACACCATGTTTTGCTGTACAGTATTGGGCAAAGAAATCCAACAGCTCATGAATAAAATAGCATTGCCGGTTGCTACACAGCCCTAGCACTACCCACACTGGTCTGTGCATACTTACAATGTGGCTACACAGCCCTAGCACTACCCACACTGGTCTGTGAACTCTAACACAGTGCTACTTTTTTCGTTAGGTGTTGGATTTCTCTGGCCGGCACTGTAGACTTCATTATACTGTGTTCTCTGACATACTGTACTGTGTGATCAAGACGTACACTCACCTGTTGGTTTGTGTCTATACGGTCCAAGGCTGCCTGCATCTTGGCCATCTTCATTTCCGACTCCTGCAGGCCAACAACAGGGAAAACAAGACGGGAATAATGTTCTCACTGTATACAACAAGGCGAAGCTGAGTGCACACGCCGAATAATCTGAATCTCTACAAGAACATTTGTCATGAAAAAGGTACAATGCAGCTTCGCATACCATCTACTGAACCATGCAATCTTCTATCATACAAAGAGTGCAGTAGTTAGAAGGCAGTACCAAGTTACTGCTAAATTGCATAGGTTGTGTTGGGGTGAAGTCCATGCTCTGACGACGATGTTTGATGATCGCTTGTTCATCAAGTTCAGTATTACTTGAAGTACCTACAAGGGGTTTTCCCTTCCTGTTATATCTATAGTGCTATACATCAAGGTGGGATGAGCTTCCCCCCCCCCTCCTCTCTCTCTCTCTCTCTCTCTCTCTCTCTCTCTCCCTCTCTGAGTGAATTGTGGAAGTGGCAAAGTGTTTGTGTGCTGGACATCAGGAGGTGTAAACTCTGGCTTTGATGTGTGTCTACATACAACCAACACAAAGACCTGGGAGTCTACACACAACATATAATTATGCATACCCAGATCTTCATGTTATTGTGACCAATTTCATAGATGTTGGTTGCCTTGTTGCTTTCTCTCCCCTCTCCTCTCACCCAAGCCATTCTGCATAAGCGAAGCTGTGGACGCAGCATACTGCTGCTACACTTCAACGCGGGAATGCGTATAATAATAATAATAATAATAATAATAATAATAATAATAATAATAATAATAATAATAATAATAATAATAATAATAATAATAATAATAATAATAATAATAATAATAATAATAATAATAATAATAATAATAATAGTCCTGGTGGTGACAGTCAATTTTTTCTCCAGACTTTTCCCGTTTGTCTCTTTCCCTCAAAACCAGTTAATAATAATAATAATAATAATTTTGAACGGATTGGGAGAACTTCAAATTCAATGGATCAGTTGGGGAAGTGAACTGCCTGAAAAGAGAAAAAATCGCCAGACCCACCAGGACTCGAACCCGGGACCTTGCTTGTCATGAGCAAAGCTCTAACCACCGAGCTATGGGACCGGGCTGAACCTAGAAGGCGCTGACAAGATTTTCACTCCAAAGGCAGCTCACAACACGTGCCACACATACTGATGGCACTTGGGTCTTTCTCCCTCCCCCAGGGGACCAACCACGGTCAGTCTCTGGACCCTACCAGAAGCGAAAGAGAGTGATAAATTTTGGACAGATTGGGAGAACTTCAAATTCAATGGATCAGTTGGGGAAGTGAACTGCCTGAAAAGAGAAAAAATCGCCAGACCCACCAGGACTCGAACCCTTCTAGGTTCAGCCCGGTCCCATAGCTCGGTGGTTAGAGCTTTGCTCATGACAAGCAAGGTCCTGGGTTCGAGTCCTGGTGGGTCTGGCGATTTTTTCTCTTTTCAGGCAGTTCACTTCCCCAACTGATCCATTGAATAATAATAATAATAATAATAATAATTTGGAAAGGATTGGGAGAACTTCATATTCAAAGGATCAGTCGGGGAAGTGAACTGCCTGAAAAGAGAAAAAAACGCCAGACCCACCAGGACTCGAACCTGGGACCCTGCTTGTCATGAGCAATGCTCTAACCACTGAGCTATGGGACCAGGCTGAACCCAGAAGGCGCTGACAAGTTTTTCACTCCAAAGGCAGCTCACAACACGTGCCACACATACTGATGGCACTTGGGTCTTTTTCCCTCCCCCAGGGGACCAACCACGGTCACGGTCACGGTCGTGGTTGGTCCCCTGGGGGAGGGAAAAAGACCCAAGTGCCATCAGTATGTGTGGCACGTGTTGTGAGCTGCCTTTGGAGTGAAAAACTTGTCAGCGCCTTCTGGGTTCAGCCTGGTCCCATAGCTCAGTGGTTAGAGCATTGCTCATGACAAGCAGGGTCCCAGGTTCGAGTCCTGGTGGGTCTGGCGTTTTTTTCTCTTTTCAGGCAGTTCACTTCCCCGACTGATCCTTTGAATAATAATAATAATAATAATAATAATAATAATTTGAAACTCGGGTATTGAGCCAATAATAAAAGGAGAAAGGGAAAAGGACATATGGAAACGAGTTAAGAGTAACTCTCCACCACTGTAACTAGATACTATATACAGTCAGAAAGTGCAACAACTAGGCACAAAACTGACAGAGTACTGAGACATTCGACGTCCTGACACCTAGCTTCAACACATCTCCGTAGCGCTAACCGACAGCCTTCCAACTTGGAAGGTTCGAGGTTATGGAAAGACCAAAGAGGGGAAGGCAAGCGCAACGAAAACGAGCACAAGCTACAGTCCCAACGGAACAAAGAATGTCGATTGTCACTGGACGATGACGAGACCAGTAGGCGATTTGACAAAGCGGTCTAACTACAATTCGAAGCAGCAAAGCAGCACACCACCCAACTTGGGTGACCCACCCAAGTTGGGTGGTGTGCTGCTTTGCTGCTTCGAATTGTAGTTAGACCGCTTTGTCAAATCGCCTACTGGTCTCGTCATCGTCCAGTGACAATCGACATTCTTTGTTCCGTTGGGACTGTAGCTTGTGCTCGTTTTCGTTGCGCTTGCCTTCCCCTCTTTGGTCTTTCCATAACCTCGAACCTTCCAAGTTGGAAGGCTGTCGGTTAGCGCTACGGAGATGTGTTGAAGCTAGGTGTCAGGACGTCGAATGTCTCAGTACTCTGTCAGTTTTGTGCCTAGTTGTTGCACTTTCTGACTGTATATAGTATCTAGTTACAGTGGTGGAGAGTTACTCTTAACTCGTTTCCATATGTCCTTTTCCCTTTCTCCTTTTAATAATAATAATAATAATAATAATAATAATAATAATAATAATAATAATAATAATAATTGAATTGTTTGCAGGCAACCTGCCTACACTCAAGAGAGCACTGCATTTCACACAAATCCATTGGTATCGTTACAACGTTTCGGTCTTTATGACCATCATCAGGAATGAAGTGGACATGGAAAGAACAGCAGTATAAAAGAAGGAGGCAAGCAAGCAAAGCGCGGTGCATAGTGACAGCGCGCGTAGAGAAGTGCAAAGCACGTCATGGCGGGTGTGCATTACTACATATACATGACAACACAAGCACAAACGGCGAGGAAAGTAGATACTGCGCTACAGCAGTGATAACAGCCCAGTTACAGTCTCACACCACCAGTGAGGTGTCTAGAGCCCCGCGCCACTCGCAGTAAGGTGGTGTTATAGCAGATCCCAGCCACTGTTGTTATTAATTTCCGGGGATCGCTCCCTGATATTGATTGCCTCCCGGATCCTCCTCCTGGGGCGGTCACGCTCAGAACCGAGAACCCGGATACCTGAGAAAGCCGTTGCTCCCAATGGCAATGGGTCAGATGCATGCTTGGCCGCGAAATGCTCACCCAGCGCGGTGCCGCTCACTGTGTTGCGTGCGTCGTCGTTGTGTTCTTTTGTCCTGGTAGCGAGGCTGCGGTACGTCTCTCCGACATATTTATCACCACATTTGCACTCGAGGTGGTATACCACGTTTCGCTCTGTGCATGCTTCTGAACCGGACATGCAGGCGACACAAGCAGCCTTGGGCCGCCCCCGTTTACGGGGCTTGGACGGGTCTACATACCTGCGGCATGGTGGTTTGCGGAGGGCAGACGTGCAAATCATAGAACTTAGACGGCGGTTCCTGTAAATCAGCTGAGCATTTATCTTGTACTTCCGGAGTAATTTATGAATTTGACGTGCTTTTGCACTTCTCTACGCGCGCTGTCACTATGCACCGCGCTTTGCTTGCTTGCCTCCTTCTTTTATACTGCTGTTCTTTCCATGTCCACTTCATTCCTGATGATGGTCATAAAGACCGAAACGTTGTAACGATACCAATGGATTTGTGTGAAATGCAGTGCTCTCTTGAGTGTAGGCAGGTTGCCTGCAAACAATTCAAGTATAATGAAGCTGCGTGAAGCGTCCTTCAAAATTTTGAATAATAATAATAATAATAATAATAATAATAATAATAATAATAATAATAATAATAATAATAATAATAATAATAATAATAATAATAATAATAATAATAATAATAATAATAATAATAATAATAATTTAAAGAGTCGGCGTGGAGAAAGCAATTTTATTAGTGCAATTAGGAGTATAATCGATGCAGACATGGCCAGACAACAACGAGTTCATGGAATTTTTAAGGATTTTTATGTTATTCAAAATCGATTTTCGTGTTCCGCTCATCAGTGAATAGTATCGGAACTGAGGGTACTGTGTACAACAATAGAACATTTTATAACAGCATAATTAATTAAAAGTGTGAACAACAAAGGAAGTGCTACAGCATTACATAATAGGTGTCAAACATAGTGCTAACGTATATAACTGAGTGCAGCCACAAAGCAAGAGGTGATATAGTGCAACATGACACAACATTTACATCTGATAACCAGCTACGAGAACAACTTTAACGCGACTACATGCTTCTTTTGTTTACAAAGAACAGGATTATGCACACGAATACATACAGCTTCCAGAACCTTCAACTGCTTCACATAACTTGCACGGCACAAAACAGAAAAGTGAGAATCATCGTACACACCAAGACAATCTGGACGTGATAACAAGTGACAAAATACAGCTGACTTTTTGCTCACGTCGCTCTCTTCCGTCTCATCCCGCTCCCTTCCTTCGACCTCCTCCGCCTTATCCTCGTCCTCCGTCTCATCTTCATCATCATCGTCCTCATCACCACCATCATCATCATCAGTCACTTCCTCATCATCCGTTTGATGCTCAGTATCACTGCACTCCTTATCAGCCTCCAACATGGCTCCATCATCTCCAACAGCATCACAAGTCGTTTGACCGCTGCTCCGCGTCACCGTTGCTGGGTTCTCTGCTACTGCACACCCATTTCCACTGTCCATTTTGCGTGGGCCAAGTCCATTCCGTGCATACATTTCAAGTGAATAGTTTGCTGTGCTTCTTCTGGGTCTA